CTATCTATCTATCTATCTATCTATCTATCTGTCAGTCTATCCATCTATCTATGTATCTAACCTATCTACCTTAGAGATGGGGGTCTCATTATGTTGCCCAGGCTGGATTTGAACTCCTGGGCTCAAGCAATCCTCCTGCCTCAGCCTCCTGAGAAGCTGGGACTATAGGCACATGCCATTATGGACCAGCTAGCAGTGACCTTTCCATAAGCCCCTGAGGTATGGGGTTGTTTCCTAGAGAAGTTAGCTAACCCTAACTATTCATTTGAATAGGCAATGGACAGTGTCTGCCAAATTTCCCTATGCAAGCTTTCTCTGCTAAGGATACTCAAAAGGAGTCTTAAGAGAAAAATCTTGGTGATACCTAAGTCTTGCAACTCTGAGGAAAGGGATGAGTAGGGAAACTAAAGGGCTGACATTCATATCCAAGCATTCAGTAATAAATCATTGTGGGCCTAGTGCTCAGATCTTTTTTGTGGGGCGGGGACGGAGTCTCGCTCTGTTGCCTAGGCTGGAGTGCAGTGGCGTGATCTCGGCTCACTGAAACCTCTGCCTCCCGGGTTCAAGCAATTCTCTGCCTGAGCCTCCCAAGTAGCTGGGATTACAGGCACCCGCCACCACACCTGGCTAGTTTTTGTATTTTTAGATGTATTCAGAGATGGGGTTTCACCATCTTGGCCAGGCTGGTCTTGAACTCCTGACTTAGCAGTCCACCCACCTCGGCCTCCCAAAGTGCTGGGATTACAGGCGTGAGCCACCATGCCCGGCTCATATCTTATTTTCTAATATAGTTCCACATTAAAGAAATAGCAATCCAGGACTCCTCAGATAAATTCTGGGGCTGGGGTATGGAAAGTACAAGATGAATCTGGAGCATCCTATTTTGGAGACATGCTAAAAAAGACACAGGAGCCAACTTGAAAGGGTATCCATGACTAAATCTGGAAAATTCAAGTTCCAAAATAATTAAGGACAGTAATGAATTATAAACCATTGAAAAAAGTAGTAGTCCATAAGTCTGTATCATTAATAGATAACTAAAAAACCAACTAACTAAATAAGAGACAAGGGAGGATTGGTACAGGCAAAACACAATAGATGCTAAATCTAGAGGAAAACGTTTAAAGAGGAGCCAGATATTTGCATTGTCTAAGATATGTCCCCATAGATTGCTCATTAATTACAAGGGAAAAATAGTAAATGCACTGTGAGAAATCAGATCCTTTGACAAAGTAATCAAAATTACTATCTCCAGTGAAGGACAGAGAGACATTATGTGCCTTCGGATATAATATCCTGAGGGCACAATATCATACATGAAGTATTCTGGCCAGAAATGGATAACCGGAATCTAATTATAAGTAAACATCAGACAAACATAAACAACAAACCTAAAATGAGGATATCCTAAAATGAATAACTTTTTTTTTTTTTTTTTGAGACGGAGTCTTGCTCTGTCGCCCAGGCTGGAGTGCAGTGGCCGGATCTCAGCTCACTGCAAGCTCCGCCTCCCGGGTCTACGCCATTCTCCTGCCTCAGCCTCCCGAGTCGAGTAGGTGGGACTACCGGCGCCCGCCACCTCGTCCGGCTAGTTTTTTTTTTTTGTATTTTTTTGGTAGAGACGGGGTTTCGCCGTGTTAGCCAGGCTGGTCTCGATCTCCTGACCTCGTGATCCGCCCATCTCGGCCTCCCAAAGTGCTGGGATTACAGGCCTGAGCCACCGCGCCCAGCCTTTTTTTTTTTTTTTGAAATGAAGTCTGGCTCTGTTGCCAGGCTGGAGTGCAGTGACGCCATCTCGGCTCGCTGCAAGCTCTGCCCCCGGGTTCACGCCATTCTCCTTCCTCAGCCTCCCGAGTAGCTGGGCCTACAGGCGCCCGCCACCATGCCCAGCTAATTTCTTTTTGTATTTATGGTAGAGACAGGATTTCACCGTGTTAGCCAGGATGGTCTCAATCTCCTGACCTCGTGATCCACCCGCCTCGGCCTCCCAAAGTGCTGCGATTACAGGCGTGAGCCACCGTGCCAAGCTGTGAAGAATATTTTATTACCCTTTTACGAGAAAAAGGCCTGTATTCTTCAAAAATATCAAAGACAAAGAAAAGCTGAGGAACTGTGCCAGATTAAAGAACACTAAAGAGACATGACAATTAAATGTAATATATGATCCTAAACTGAATCTTGTGCTGGAAAAGAAAAAAATGCTAAAAAAGATGTTATTGGATCAACTGACAACATTTGGAACATGGATGGTAAAGTGTTACAGCAATGTTAAATTTCCTGGAGTTGATAATTGTATGTATTTTGTTTATATAAGATAATGTACTCAGGATATTCAAATATTATGTGGTAAACGAGCATGATGCATGCAATTTACTTTCAACTGCTCAGAAAAAAAAAAATGTACATGGGCGGGGTGTGGTGGCTCACACCTATAATCCTAGCATTTTGGGAGTCCAAGGTGGGTGGATTGCCTGAGCTCACAAGTTCAAGACCAGCCTGGGCAACACGGTGAAACCCCGTCTCTACTAAAATACAAAAAAATTAGCCGGGTGTGGCGGTGGGCACCTGTAATCCCAGCTACTCAGGAGGCTGAGACAGGAGAATCACTTTTTTTTTTTTTTTTTTTGAGGCGGAGTCTTGCTCTGTCACCCAGGCTGGAGTGCAGTGGCACTATCTCGGCTCACTGCAAGCTCCGCCTCCTGGGTTCACGCCATTCTCCTGCCTCAGCCTCCCGAGTAGCTGGGACTACAGGCGCCTGCCACCACGCCCGGCTAATTTTTTTGTATTTTTAGTAGAGATGGGGTTTCACCGTGTTAGCCAGGATGGTCTCGATCTCCTGACCTCGTGATCCACCCATCTCGGCCTCCCAAAGTGCTGGGATTACAGGCTTGAGCCACCGCGCCCGGCAGGAGAATCACTTAAACCCAGGAGACGGAGGTTGCAATGAGCCGAGATCTCGCCACTGCACTCCAGCCTGGGTGACAGAGTGAGACTGTCAAAAAAAAAAAAAAAAAAAAAAAAAAAAGCATGTATGTGTGTAATAGAACTCTATCTATCTATAACTGCAAATGATAAAGCAAAAGGGGCAAGATGTTAATAATCTGGGTAACAGGTATATGGGTCCTCTTTTTGTCACTCTTGCAACATATCTGTATGTTTAACATTATTTCCAAATAAAAAGTATCCTAGGGTCTGGATTTAAAAAAAAATCATTGAAGTTCTCCTCCTGTTGGCTCAAGGGACTTTTCTGCTTTTTTATCCTTTACTGCAGACCATCACTCTAATCTGGTTTTCCCAGTTTCACAACCTGTTGATTTCTATTTAAATTCTCTTTTTTTCCTAGCCCCTAGGATTCATAATTTGTTTGAAGAGTTTGCCTAGCTTCATGGTTCAGTTTGTCTCAAGACACAGCCTTCTCGTCAGCTTCTCCTATTTGGTCTTAAGCACTGCCGCTCTTGGGCAAGTGACTTCTTGCCTGCAACACTGAATCTAGTCTCTAGGTCCTAGAAGGATGTCAGACCCTGAATGAGACTTGAATGCTTCCAATTGCTAACTGCTCCATCTCCCTCTCCAGCTGCTCTGTCTTTGTTTAGGAGGATATATTTCACATATCTGCCCCTTTCTCGCCTTCTTTCCTGTTTAATCAAACCCTCATCATAGTTTTCTGATTAGGATCTCTTTCTCCAGTCTTTACCCACTCCAGCCAGCTATCTTCCTTCACCATCACTAGTTCTCTCTCACATTACCCGTCTGAATAAACTTTTTTTTTGAGACAGAGTCTCGCTGTGTTTGCCCAGGCTAAAGTGCAATGGCACGATCTCGGCTCACTGCAATCTTTGCCTCCCGCGTTCAAGAGATTCTCCTGCCTCAGCCTTCTGAGTAGCTGGGATTACAAGCATATGCCACCACATCCGGCTAATTTTTGTATTTGTAGTAGAGACGGGGTTTCACCATGTTGGCCAGGCTGGTCTCGAACTCCTGACCTCCAGTGATCTGCCACCTTGGCTTCCCAAAGTGCTGGGATTACAGGCATAAGCCACTGTGCCTGGCCACCTGTGCGAATAAACTTCTAACAGCTCTACATTGCCTTTCAAAATCTGACTCAATTTACCTTATTACTTCTATATCCTGCCACTTCTCTGCTTAACTGTAAGCTCCTTCAGGGAACAGACCATGCCTTTTCTTCTGTGTCTCCTTAATTTCTTTTTTTTTTTTTTTTTTTTTCTTTTTGAGACAGAGTCTCACTCTGTCGCCCAGGCTGGAGTGCAATGGTGGGATCTCGGCTCACAGCAGCCTCCACCTCCTGGGTTCCAGTGATTGTCCTACCTTAGCCTCCCCGGTAGCTGGGATTACAGGCATGCACCACTACACCTGGCTAATGTTTGCATTTTTAGTAGAGATGGGGTTTCACCATGTTGGCCAGGCTGGTCTCAAACTCCTGACCTCAGGTGATCTACCCGCCTCGGCCTCCCAAAGTGCTGGGATTACAGGCATGAGCCACAACACCCAGCCCCTTAATTTCTTATATAGTGCCTGGCACACAGAAGATGCTCTGTAAATAGTTACTGAATGGACAAATGATGAAACTTTGAAACTTCTTTGACCTTACTATGCTCAAATATCACTTCTGATGTTCTTCTCCGACTCTCTCGCTTATCTTATATATGTCTGCACACGTTTTTGCCTCAATAGACTGTAAGGTCCCTGAGGCAAAAGACCATGCCTTATTCACCTGTCTCATGCATACCTGACCCAGTGTCTAGAAGAGTGGATAGCACAGAGCAGGCACACAGCAGTTTGCTGGATGAATGAGTGAATGATACTAAAGAGGAGAAAATACAGACTTTAAGAAGCTCCCCGTATAGTGAGAAAGACTGAGGACCTAAAAGCAATGAAAATAGAGGTTAACAAGTATAAATAAAGAAGGTACAGGTTAATTTAAGTAATCAGATGATGATGTAGAATTCAAATAAAATAAGAGTCAATCAGCAAAGGTTCCCGAGAGGTGAATTCTGAGATTTATTTGAAAAGAGGAAAGGGACATGCCTTGAGAGAGCAGGAGTTTAGGAACATGTCAGAGAGTTAGGTTGAACGAAGGCATGATAAACAGTGTGTTTGAAGCTTACATTTTGAGCAGGATCTGTTATACCCAGACCACAGGTTTCTGCCTTTTTTTCTGGCTCATCAAGCAGGCACGTTTACCCACTCTTTTTGTCTTCATATTTCCCAGGTCGGCCCAATGTGAGGACTTTAAGTTCTTTAAGTAGTAGAAGGAAGTTTCTGTGAAAATATGCAAACAAAACTGCCTTGTGGGATCGAACATTTTTGGTAACCCTACTTCTCTAGGGAAATAAACTTCCCTGTTCCAGATAAAATGGAACTGCTCCCCGTGTTGTTAAGCCAGAGAGAAAGTCAAATGACTTCCCTTAAAAGGTACTTCAGCACATTTTACAAAAATTATAGTTTTTTTGTGTGTGTGTTGTGGGGATCCAAGGAAATCAGAGATGTTAATGAGTGAGATCTGAGAAACAAAACTTGATAGTAGAATTTTGTCTTAGCCACATCTGCCCTTCTCCTCAGAGAGTATATGCAAATGCCGATGGTGCCGGACAGTCGCTTTCTAGGGCTCAGATCACTGCTGCCTCCAGCACTTGTGGGATGGAAAAAATGAAGAGATTACAGTTGCCCTAAAAATGTCCCCCACTTCAGGAATCTGAATATTTTACACAGCAGGAGATATATCGGAAGTCCTACAGAATCTCTTGATTTTGGGAGATCGCAACTGCTTTTCCATTAGGATAACCTAATTTTCAGTGTCCTTTTTCTCAGAATGTTGTGCCAACGCGTTCTGTTTCCTAAATACCCAGCCTTACTTCCTTCTGGTAGAGGCAAGAAAATTATGCTAGCATTCGCTCACTGCATGTTTTGAGCGTTTGAGTTCAGATTACAGCTATTCTCTCTCTTCGTAATGTAAACACAGGTTCCCAAGGCGGCAATGGGAGACTCCCCTAAGGGGCTCTTGACGTACAGGGAGACTTCCAGATAGGGTACACAGATGTCACATTGCTAGAACGTCTCTAGACGGCAACGAAACATTAAAGCCTAACCTGAGGTAATCCCTCACCGGCAGTGGAGCTCCTCTGTTAGGCACTGTCTTCCTGCCCAGGCTCTGGGGGTGTCACACTAGACTGTGGTGATGTCACACTAGCTGGGATGACATTTTACAGTTGGATCCCCTACCACTGCCAGGCACCTTTAAATCACCGCGGAGTCTACGGTGCGGAGGGGGCGGGAAGCCCAGCCCCCGCACTCGATCCACGCTGGCTCCCCACGGAGGCCCACCCACTCGAGGCCCACCCACTCCCACTGCGATCAGTACTATGCGGTCGTCCTAGAGAGTCCATTCATCTGCACTTCCGCCTCAGTAGGTGTCATGGCGCGGGGCGGGTGAATAGTTCCGGCGAGGCGGGGCCGTCCGGGTTGAGGGGCGGCCGCTCGGCGTTCCGCTCGTCGGGTCTGGCGACAACGGCGGCTGCGGAGCAAGGGGCCCGGCGGTAGCCCCGGACGGCAGCAGGAAGCCGAGGCGGGAGCGCGCGGGGCTGAGGCGGCGGCGGCGGCGGCGGGAAGGGGCTGGGTGGTGGAGCGGGCGGGAGGCTGAGGAGGCTCCCCCTGCGGGACGGGCGCGGGGACGGCTCCGGGGGGCGGGGGCCGGGGCCCGGGCCGGCTCGCGCGGGGGGTATGATGACCCGGCGGCGGGGCCCCAGATCTCGTCTCCTCCGCCGCCTCCTCACGGCAGCCCCAGCTCGCGGCTGAGAACCAGACACACCGGCGGTGAGTGGGGACCGGCAGGAGGGGGCCTCGGCGGGGAGGGACTTCCCCTCAGCTCCCCGAGGCGGGGCCGGCCGCCGGCTCTCTTGGGGCGCCCAGCCTGCGGGGGGCGCCTTCCTCAGAGGGCCCCTGCCCGGGACCGGGCGCCGTGTCCTGCGGCCCGGCGGCTCGCGGCCGCTGAGGGGATTGCGTTCCCAGGAAGGTGGGCAGGCTCCGGGCTGTTTTTCGGGACAACTCCCCCTGCCTCCTGCCACTTCTCGCCTGGGCGTGTTGTCCTTAAGTGACAGGGGACCGCCTTGCGTCTCCTCACTCGGCCGGTTTTTCCCCGGCTGTCGTGGCAGGTTCCCAGTGTGTGGCTTGTGCGTGTGTATTTCACAGCTCCGCTTATCACCATGATTTTGGGTTATTTGTGCTGTTTGGGACCAGGAAGCCGTGCCTGGAGCGGACGACAGTGGGGTGGGTGTGGAAGCTTTTCTGTCGTCTTCGCTGATGTTCTGTAGTCGTTAGGCTTGTAATTTGTAATGACGGTGGAGACTACGTGAGACCAGCCCACCTAATGTATATCTGTGCAAGGCAGATCTAGAGGTCTGGCCCAAAGGGAAACTTTTGCTGTCACCACTTTCAAAGCTTTCGTTAAAAAAACAAAAAAGGAAAGGTGGAGAAACAACCAAAATTCTGGTAAGACCCACACTGTTCACAGGTCTGTGGGGAAGAGTCCCCTTTTTGTGCCTAGCAACCAAGACCTGGAGTTCTGTCTCCAGGAGCGTTGGTCTAACCTCCAGTTTGTTGTGGTGACGAGAGCGCGAGCAATGGCCTGTGTTTATGCTGGGCGAGCTTTCTTTCCTGCTTGGGGAGGGGAGTTGAGGATGGGAGGATGGGGGTAGGGAAGAGGGGGAAAACACCCCCAGGCTCCAGTAAATCTTGTCTTTACTTAACCACTGATTCTGTTGTAGGTAGACTCATTTAGAGGCAGTCCTAGATGCTCTTTCTTGTCTATTAGTGACACTTTGGGAATTCTCAGTAATTGCATCAAAATAATACTTTCAGCTATAGGCTCTCTGTCTCAATCTGTCCTTTATCTTGTTTCTTAGTAACTGGTGAAAACAGCAGTGTGGCTTCCTGCTCCTGATGAAATGGGGTTAAATTAAGTGGCTGATGCCCTCAGCAAACCTACAATTTTCCTTTTGTTTGTGTAAAGCTATTTTTGATTTCTGGTCTGTAGGGTTTTTGGTTTTTTTTTGTTTTGTTTTTTTGTAAGATTATAGAGAATGCAAACCATTACTAGGTTTTTAAATATAGAAGCCTAAAGCTTTCTATAAAACATTTTAAAATCTAACAAATCATTTGACTTAATTTTCATTATTCATCTGGTGATTTTGGATCTTTACATGCAATTATCTCAGGGTTCTGTGTTATAATGCTGGTATGATGAAGGGTGTCATTGACTTTAAGATACTGTTTCTGGCTTGAAGGATATTTTAGTAAAGTACTTGCGGTTGGAACTGGAGGCAGCCAAGCCAGTAAAGCATCTTAGAATAAAATGGTGAATGAGATCTTATAAATATACTGACTCTGGTTGGCAAGTAGAACTTTTGCTGGTGATACCTTCATAAATAGTTTATCCTATCTCTCGACACTGTAGTTTTGTGGATTTTAGAGCAAGTTCGTTGGTAACTTGAGACTTCAAACCAAACCAGAACTTCCTTCTAAAAGAAAAAGATAATCTCAAAGTTCACAATTCTTTGGAAAATAGACTTCTTTCATTCTCTGCTTTTGTTTTTATAAGCAGAGCTCCATCAATGATTTGTTGGTACAAATCAGTGAGTCATACCGGCCTTGTGAAGTTCTTACACTTGGAACTTGTGCAGCTTGTTATGTATTGTAACTGGTCTTGTAATTTGAAGTAATTTTGCAAACATGAGCTGCTTAATCTGCCACCTGCATGAGGTATAACAGCAGTCTGTATTTTTTAGGTCTTTTAAAAAAAAGTTTACTATTATTCCTCCCGCTTTCTTCCCTTCCTCTCCCTTCGTGCCATTCTGAACACACGTCATCAAGATTATTTTCCTTTGAGTACCACTTCAACAATCACTGGTTTGTCTTTTGGTTCCTTTTGTTTTTGTTCCTGATCTTCCTTTTAGTTACTGGAACCCAGCTCCTAAATGCCTAATATATTCCTGTAGTGCGTAATTTGGCACTTCAGAAATTTATATCCTGTTTTCATATTTTTCTTTCTTTTTCATGTGTTTTATCATTTCAGCAACATTTTAAGTTCTTTGAAGGTAAGGAAACTGACATTTCTTTTAGATTCTTTAAGGGTACCTGGTACAGTGCTTTCCCAGAGTGCTTAAGGAAAAGGAATGAGAAGACCTGGATTCTTTGCCAGCATTGCTACTCATTAGCTCTGGGTAAAACTCGTTTGGCCTTTTTGGATCTGCCTTTTTTTTTTTTTTTTAAATTTGAGACAGGGTCTTACTTTGTCACCCAGGTTGGAGTACCATGGTGGGTTCAGGCTGGAGTGCCGTGGTGGGTTCAAGTGATTCTCATACTTCTGCCTCCTGAGTAGCTAGGACTACAGGCACTACAGGCACGCACCACCATGCCTGGCTAATATTTGTATTTTTAGTAGAGATGGGTTTTTGCCATATTGGCCTGGCTGGTCTTGAACTCCTGACCTCAAGTGATCCACCTGCCTCGGCCTCCCAAAGTGCTGGGATTACAGGCATGAGCCACCATGCCTGGCCTGGATCGCCTTTTTCTCATCTTGGAATTAGGGGGTTTTAGCATCTTTTAAGGTCCCTTTTATCTGTAAGAGTTCCAGTACTTTTTTGCCAGTGTCTTCTGCTCTAGTTAAATATATCTCCTTACTCTACACAGCTTTTTATTTTTCCACATCCTTTGGCATACTAGCATAGCAAAAGTCATCTCATTCTTCTGAAAGAGCCTCCTCCATCTTCCATTCTCCAAACTGCTATTGCCTTACTTAAGTCCCGTTTTCCTTCAGCTTTTGCTGGCATATTGTTTATATTTCATATTTGTTTCTGCTTTGTTAATTTTAACTTTTTTTAATCCTGGAAGCTCCTCAAGGTATAGTTTTCTTAATTCTAAACTTTATAGACCTATAGACTGTCATGTGCAGGTACTAAAATATAGTACCTTTTTACTAAATACAAAGCACTTTTTTTCTTTTTTTTTTGGGGGGACGGAGTCTCGCTTTGTCGCCCAGGCTGGAGTGCAGTAGCATGATTTCGGCTGACTGCAAGCTCCGCCTCCTGGGTTCACGCCATTCTCCTGCCTCATCCTCCCAAGTAGCTGGGACTACAGGTGCCTGCCACCACACCCGGCTAATTTTTGTATTTTTAGTAGAGATGGGATTTCACCGTGTTAGCCAGGATAGTCTTGATCTCCTGACCTCATGATCCGCCCACCTCAGCCTCCCAAAGTGTTGGGATTACAGGCGTGAACTACCACGCCTGGCCAAGCACTTTTCTTTTGTTCTGTTGCCATAGTCATTCCAAATAAATCTCAGTGAACTATTGATTTTGATACAAAGCAACAGCCTCTGCCACATTGAAGAAGTGAGCTTTAAGTACAGACTAGAAGGGTAAGTGAAAGTTAGGAAAAGAAAAGTCTAAGGGGGAAAATGAAGTTCAGAGAGGAAACATGTTGAAGGAACTAGGGCCAGAGAAGGCAAGGCGTATTGTGGGAACCCAGAGAGACTTGGTAGTATTGGAAGAGAAAGTTCCTGGGGAAAAGCGCAGATGAAACAAGGCTATGCAAGTAATCATGGTCCAGATCTTGCAAGGCCTGGTAATCCAAATTAGGAATTTTTTGGTCTTTTTCCTAAGTTTTTAAGTGGGGGACAGGTACACTTTTTTTTTTTTTCCCAGCTGTGCATTTTTAAAGCTTCAGTTGAAAGGTGAATAATGAATTGGGAGAGGGGAGCTTAGAAAAGGGGCTTGAGGATAGCATCATGGCTCACACCTGTAATCCCAGCACTTGGAGGCTGAGGTAGGTGGACCACTTGAGCCTAGGAGTTTGAGACCAGCCTGAGCAACATGGTGAAACCCTATCTCTACAAAAAATATCAAAAAATTAGCGGGGCGTGGTGGCATGTGCTGGTAGTCCCAGTTACTCTGGAGGCTGAGGTAGGAGAGTGGATTGAGCCCTGGAGGTCAAGGCTGCAGTGAACGAACCATGATCATGTACTGCACTCCAGGCTGGGTGACAGAATCTCAAATAAAGGGGGGAAGTTGAAAGTACAGTTTGGAGGAAACCGGTTAAGCTGTTTAAGTATGGAATTGTGCAGTAGAGGTGGAGAAAACTTAGGAGAGTAGAGAGAGAGGTGTTTGTTGGAAATAATTTTCTTCCCAAACTTGTCTCACTTTGGTTTTACAGAAGGTGTACTCTTATCATCTGTAAAAATATGTATCAGAGTATGTGATCGACAATATGTACACCTGTGTTCATGTCATCTGAGGATAAGTGGTAGAACAAGAAATCAATATATAGTACAGTTTTTAGGTCATTTGGCTAACCAACTGTTAAACTGTATGAAGGAGGCAAAGATGACATTGAGCAAAAGCAACAAGAATTTATTAGTAGTGTGTCAGGAAAAAGGTTACTGAGGGGTCA